AATGTCCATACTACCTAAAGTGATCTACAGAATTAATGCAATCCCTATCAAAATCCCATTATCATTCTTCACAGATCTGGAAAAAATAATTCTACACTTTGTATGGAACCAGAGAAGACCTCGTATAGCCAAAGCAGTCTTAAGTAAAAAGAATAAACTGGGAGGTATCAGTTTACCTGACTTTAAGCTGTACTACCAGGCTGTAGTGATTAAAACAGCTTGGTACTGGCACAAAAATAAATATTCTTAAGTATTAGAAGATGAGAAGTGCTATAGAGTGTGTTTTAGTTTCTTCAGGTTGCTATAACAAAATACTATAAACTGGGTAGCTTATAAACAACAGAAACTTATTTCTGATAGTTTCGGAGGCTGGGAAGTCCAAGATCCAGGCACCAGCAGATTTGGTGTCTGGTGAGGGCCCATTTTCTGATTCATAGATGGCACCTTTTTGCCGTGTCCTCACATGGTGAAAGCATGCTCTCTGGGCCTCTTTTCTAAGGATACTAATGCCATTTATGAGGGCCCACCCTCATGACCTAATCACCTCCCGAAGGTCCCACCTCTGAATACCATCACACTGGTGATCAGGTTTCAACATAGGAATTTTGGGAGGATATAAGCATTCAGACCATAGCAGGGAAAAAAACCTATTTTCTCTATGCAGGTTTTATACTTCTTTTGTTAGTTTTTTCCCTAATTGTTGTAAATGGTATATTTAAAAAATTATACTTTCTAATAGGTTACTATATTACTATTATAACTGAACGCTTTGTTGCTCATTTTTTAAAGTATTGCTCTTATTCAGAAATTCTTCTTAGTTCTAATAGTTTAAAGATTCCCTTAGATTTTCTATGTACCTAGTTTTTGCATCTTTAAGTGACATCTTTTATTCTCCTTCCAGTCCTTATGCTTTATTTTGTTGTTTTTGAATTTTTTATGTGTATATTTTTATTAACAGACTTTATTTTTTTTCCTTTCTTTTCAACATGTATTGTTTTTTTTTTCTTTCAGCATATTATGGGGGTACAAATATTTAGGTTACATGTATTGCCCTTGCCCCACCCCACCCCCGTCAGAGCTTCAAGCATGTTCATCCCCCAGATGGTGCTCATCACACTCATTATTTATGTATATACCCCATCCCCTCCTCCCCTCTACCATCTGCCTGACGCCCAGTGAATGTTATTCCTATATGTGCACTTAGGTGTTGATCAGTTAAAACCAATTTGATGGTGAGTATATGTGGTGCTTATTTTTCCATTCTTGGGATACTTCACTTAGTAGAATGGATTCCAGCTCTATCCAGGAACATACAAGAGGTGCTATATCTCCATTGTTTCTTACAGCTGAATAGTACTCCATGGTATACATATACCACATTTTATTAATCCACTCATGTATTGATTAACAGACTTCGTATTTTAGGACAGTTGTAAATTTTCAGAAATATTGAGCAGATGGTACAGAGTTTATCCTCCTCCCCCACCCAACTGCATGGTTTCCCTTATTAACATCTTACATTAGCATGGTACATTTGTTACAGTTAATGAGCTAATATTGATATATTATTAACTTAAAAAGTTAATGTCCATAGTTTATTGAAATTTCCTTAGTTTTTACTTCATGTCTTTTTTTGGTTCCAGAATCCCATCCAGGATATTGTATTACATTTAGTTGTCGTGTCTCCTTAGTTTCCTCTTGGCTGTGACATTTTCTCAGACTTTCATTGTTTTTGACCTCTTATTTTAAAAAAAATTCAATGCCTAAGACATCTGGTATAATTAATAGAGTGAGAGTAGAGAGCCTTGTCTTTTTCCTAACTATAAGGGGAATGCTTCATAAGTCTTAGAGTATGGTGTTTGCAATAGATTTTGGTAGATACCCTTTATCGGATTAAAGACACTTTATTTTCTTTCTGATTTTTCTAAGCATTTTTGTTATGAAAAAGTATGGAATTTTATCAAATCTTTTTCTGCATCTATTAGATCACATAGTTTTTTTCCCTTAATCTGTTTAATGTGGTAAATTACGTGAGTAGATTTTCAGATATTGAGCCATCCTTGTATTTCAAGCCTTACCTGATCAGGATATGTGTACATTTATATGCTAGTATGCATACATTTGTACACATATACATAAATATTCACATGAATATTATACTTACATAATATGGATTTCGGTTGGTAATCTATTAGGATTTTTGCATCTGTATTGATAAGTGAGATTGGCCTGTCATTTTCCTTTCTTCTCTGTTTTCTGTAGATAGATTTTTTTCTTAGCTACTGTAATATTATTAACACATTAACTGCCAGATGAGTTGTATTTAACTCACACTAGTTTTGAGCCTGGGACCTCATGAAATATATGTAACTCACGTGTCTCTTTACCTTAGTAGCCACATGGTACACAGGCAACTCATGTTGCCATGCTGTAGCATATGTGTTGTGATGGGTGGCCCTCTGGGCAAACCCTATAGTTGGTTTGCGAAAATCTTACTTGATGTTCTTATTGTTAAAATTAATATTGACAATTTAATTGCATGTAACTCACACACAAAATAATAAAAAATAACATTTTTTTTTTTGAGACAGAGTCTCATTGTGTTGCCCGGGCTAGAGTGCTGTGGCATCATCCTAGCTCACAGCAACCTCAAACTGCTGGGCTCAAGCAATCCTCCTGCCTCAGCCTCCCGAGTAGCTGGGACTATAGGCATGCACCACCATGCCCGGCTGTTTTTTTTTTTTCTATGTATTTTTAGTTGTCCAATTAATTTATTTCTATTTTTAGTAGAGACGGGGTCTCGCTCTTGCTCAGGCTGGTCTCGAACTCCTGAGCTC